TGTAGGGCTATAACTGCGAGCGTGAACACTGAAGTTGTAGTGACTAGTTGAAGACTGAGATGTTGGGATAGGAGGATGTGTCGAAGACCCAGGAAAGTAAAACAGGAGCCACTCAAGGAAACGGAAGGCCAGGGAGTGCAGGGATAGAGGACAGGGGAAGAGGAAAGCCACGAGAAGATGCTGTCAGGCCAGCAGGCATGGTGCCAATGCCAGCTCGTGCTTCACTCCGGGACGGGCGGAGGGAAGTAGATACACAGTAGGGATTCCGCAGTGCAGAACTGACAAAACTGATGGGGGCCTGCCTGTCCCAGGGTGCAGGCAATAGGGTGGAGAATGTTGACAGAGAGATATTTGAAGAGGTAGTCTCAAAAGGGCCAACGGACCAACATAAACAGTTTGTATTGTAAGACAAAGCTGGCCTCTGAAGTTGGCTTTTTCACATATGCTTGGGTGTTTCCATACCCCTTAAAAACCTTAATTTTCAAATCTTTGATAAGTCCATTGGGATGTTGGCATGGAAGACATCTGGTAACATTTCTTACCTCGTAGTGGGTATTAAATGATAGTTTCTATTGTGAACGATGGAAAAGATGGGAGGTCGTCAGGAAGGACTTCCAAGTTTTCTGTTTGCACAGTTAAAAGACCTAGACTAATTTGTCTGATTTTTAAACATTGCCTCTGAGGAATCTGTTTGGAAATGCTTCCTGTCATAAGACAATGACAAAGTCACACACCGAGGATGTGTCTGAGTGGAAAGAATAGAGTTGGTAAGCATTAGCTTACACATGAAAGTAAATAGGAAAGCAGATGAGGTACCCCTCACACGTGGCCACTTGAGAAGCCAGAACCCCTAGAGAGCAGCACTGGGCTACAGCCGAGCCAGGCCAGGGAAGTGAGGTGGCCAGTGTGGAATGCGGCCCGTGCAACGCAGGAGAACTTGGGAAGATTGAGCGTGGGAGTAGAGCAAGGTTAGGTTGAAGAATAACTGTATTTGCCAGCAAGTGAATTGTCAGTAACTTCTGTCATGATATTCAGCAGTGGTGGAGACACACTAACTTGAGTGCTTTGAAAAGGGAAAGAGTGATGAAGAATAAAGGAAACATAAATCTAAGAATGGGAAGTTAAATGCTGGCTAAAAGGTAAACTAAGAGCAGGGAGACTGTGAAGAGAGTGGAAGCACAGAGAGTACAGTGTCAGGGCCACTCTGTCATGTATTGGCTTGGGGGTGAAGGACGTCTGCTGACAGAAATGACGTCCACATGGTGGAGTGCTTGGCGACAAAGTACTGCAGCCAGTCATGGACAGTGAGCGTGGACATGCTGTGTTCACACTAGGACCCTTTGAACAGTCTGGTTGCGCTCTGCTCCACCTGGGACCACCTGGAAGAGTCTGCAGAGACTGGCAGAGATACATAGTAACAGGGTCAACAGAAAAGAAAAATCAACAGTTATTATGCAGCAATAGCTTCTCAGTTTTAAAGATCTTATTTTTGATTATCTGGAGTGGCAATTGCCCTCAGAGGCCAGAACAGCGTGTTTGGATTCCCAAGATACAGGTGTTTGGTAAGCACCTGACACAGGTGCTTGGAACTGAACTCTGTGACAGAAACGGCACACACTGCTGAGCCACCTCTTTGGCCTGCAGTAGCAGCACCTTTTGACTCCATGGTCATTGGATGCTATAGGTTTGGGGAAGTAGCATGGTTGAGCTTGCTGACTGGCACTTGTATTCTTGGTGCTCAGAGGAGTGCTTGAGGGAGATGGATCATGATCTAATGAAGAAGCAGGACCAGGTAAAAGATGATGACTCTGGAGAATAGGGTGGACAGTGACAGAGCAGGACACCCGACGTCTCCCTCTGGCCTCTATGCGTGTGCACACACCAAACAAAACAAATGGGGTGAAACAAAAAAATAGACAAAACTAGGTGATGATTGAGGTCAGAGAACCATTTTCAGATGTATGATGAAGAATGGCATTCCTAAAGAGAGAAGGTTTGACCTGAAATTGGAACATCGCTAAAGAGTCAGCCATCCACAGATCTAGCAGCAGAGGCACCCTGCCAAGCTGGAGATGATACGCAGAAGCACTGCAAAGAAGAGCGCTCTGGTTTGTTTAGAAGTAGACTGAGCCAGGGAAAGACAGATACTGGCTCGCAAGGGCCCTCCATGTCCTGTTGCAGAGTTTCATGGCTTCCTGGTAGTGGACATGGAGGCAGCGTATGGAACTTGAGCTGTCTGGGAAACATCCAGATGGAGAATAGTACCAGATTTAACTGTATAAAGCCAACTATACCTTGCCTTACGTTATTCATCAGATAATTTGTCAAGTTGTATAGAACTTGAACAGACAGAAATACAATATGGAAGCTTGTGGAGTTCCATAGGGATATGGTGAAGGCCTCTAAGGATTCTGGGATCTGTAAGCAATTCTTGAAATAATGAAGGTTGTGTTAGAATGTAACGGACATCATCATGACCTGAAAGGTGTGACCGACTGTTGTGTGAGTGATAGCTAGAAATTCGTGGTTAGAATAGCTCCTGACCTCGGGGACGTCAAGAATGCGTCCCATTTTGAAATGCCTGCACTTTTCTTGGGTCCCATGCTGTACAGCGTCTGTTCAGATGGAACTCTTCCCAGGCTGTTTGTTCCCGTGGTGCAGTCACTGTGATTGCGGGTGCACACGTGGTGTGAGTACTTTCTCAGCCAAGATCATACTTAAAGGATCTCTTACAGAACATTTCAAGCTTGTAAAAATCCAGGGTACATTAAGGCAGAGTGATTATACTTTGTACTTGTACATTGGTCTAAAGTATATGATTTTACCTATGAAAAACCAGCTTGACGGTGAGAAGTGTGTCCCCCTTTTCTTTTGAGGGGTAGGGCTACCAGTGGGGAGTGAATTTAGGCTTTGCGCATTGGGGAGCAAGTCCTTTACCATGGAGCTTCAGCTCCAGCCAGAAAGTGTGTGTGTGTGTGTGTGTGTGTGTGTGTGTGTGTGTGTGTGTGTGTCTGTCTGTGTGTGTGTGTGTCTGTGTGTGTGTGTCTGTGTGTGTGTGTCTGTCTGTCTGTGTGTTTGGGGGAGATGGAGAGATGGGGGACAGACAGGGACACCGACACACACTCACACACACCTACCTCACTGTCATGTTGCCTGGGACTTGCTGTGTACACCAGGCTGGCCTCCATCTCACAGAGATCTGATTCTTTAATGCTGAGATTAAAGGTGTCTACCACAGTACCTGGCAGAAGTGATTCTTAAAGTCAGTAAGAGACATGATTTTAGGGAGGTCAGGGTGACGGGGGCCTCTGAGCTAAGAGCAGAGCCCCGGTGTGCGCTGATGGTGTCATAGCCGGGGCCTCACCTGGGTCACTTCACTTACCGTGTGTGCTGATTCAGAGGCCCGCATGTGACGAAGGTCCTGAACCCCTTCCTAGCAGAGTTTGTGTTTGGCATTCAGCTACGGTGTCTTCAGGTCCAGTCCTGAGATTGAACCCACCCACGGATGAAGTATTGTGGGGGGGGGCAATGTATGACTTCGGCTAACATTTTTGTGGGTTTCTGGTTTTGAGACAGTGAGTCCCTGTGCAGCCCTAGCTGTCCTGGAACTCACTGTGTAGACCAGACTAGCCTTGAATTCAAAGAGATCCACCTGCCTCTGCCTCCTGAGGGATGGGATGAAAGGTGTGTGTTACCACACCCAGCAGCTTCTGAGACAAAGAAAAAAGATGACAATGCTCCAATGTCTGACGTAAGTGCATTAGGTGTTTCAGGTGAACTAGTGGTGACTTAAGCTAAAGGGATCGGTGTGTAGGGCTGTGCGGAGCTATGCAGCTTTGTGTAAGGGACTTGAGCATCTGTGGATTCTAGCATATGGGGATAGATGGAGCGAGGTTCCTGCAGTCAGCTCCTTGGGGCTGCTGAAGGGTGCTTGTAATTGTTTTACCATGGTGCTCCTTAGAAGTCTGGGGGAGGAGGGCTGTGGGAGGTGAGGCTAAATTAGGATCGCAGAGTCGAGACGGGTTGTTTGCTGATAAAAGTGTAGTGTTTCTTAGTTGGTGATTTTACTGTTTTCCCAACTGTTTACAGTACTGCAAGTATAGTTGTGGAATAAGCACTTCACTGTGTTTCTCCTGCCGTATCTTACTCTTGCTGTACCACTCAGCTCAGTGACTAAGGGAGATGGGTGACTGACAGGAGGCAGACAGTTGTGTGGCTGTAGCCAGGGATTTGTAAGCACTAACTCACCTTTCATCAGAGCTCTGCGACAGAGCGCATCTGTAAATTGATCTCTTCTTTCCAGTCTGCTCACACGATGGATCAGACCTGGAGATGGAGCTGATGTAGGGCACACCCCTTAGGATGCTGAGGCAGGAGGATGACAGCTGAATTATGTAGTGAGCTCTAGGCCAGCCTGTGCTACATAGCAGTGCCCTGTTTCAAAAGAATAAAGTAAGAAAATATTTAATTAATTGTTTCTAGACTAAAAAAAAAAAAAAAAGGAAAATTTGTCATCAGTAAAAGATGTTTGCTTAACTGCTTAGAAATGAGAACTTCCCACAATACTTAACCCTTTCACTAGTTATTTTTTATTCCTGTATTTTCTGGGTTGGTTTGTTTTTCTGAGACAGGGTTTCCCTGTGTAGCTCTGGCTGTCCTGGAACTTGATCTGTAGACCTCAGACCCAGAGATCTGCCTGCCTCTGCTGCACATGTGCTGAGGTGAAAGGCGGGCGCCACCACCTTTATCCCTGTGTGCTCTTGGCACGTGAGATACGCTGTTGGCTGGAAACTGTAGTTTAAATCGTTTACGGTTATGTAGCATTCTCAGCCCAGCATCCAGGCAGCCGGGTGGACGGCGTATGTTTGGGGAGGGTCAACCGGCGTATATCATCAGCCCCTTTGCTTCATGTATTGCTAAAAACTAACATTTCAGAGCTTTAAAGTGTCCACATGGATTTGGAAATAGCATTGTAATGCCCTGTTTCTCTGTCTCTTCAGGTCAGCAGCAAGGACAGGATGGAGTGAAAGTGCAGCAGGCCACCATCGCTCCTGTGACAGTGGCGGTCGGAGGGCTCGCCAGCGCCACCATAGGTGCTGTTAGCCCCGAGCAGCTCACGCAGGTGCACCTGCAGCAGGGCCAGCAGACCCCTGACGCAGACGTGCAGCCCGGCAAGAGGCTGCGCAGAGTCGCCTGCTCCTGTCCTAACTGCAGGGAAGGAGAAGGAAGGTAACGCTCTCTTCACCCCACTCTGCCGCTAAGCAGTCGCTGGCCCACTGCTCCGCCCTCTGCAGCCTCTCGGCTTTCTCCCAGAGGCTGAGGACAGGCCACACAGGAAGTGAAGCTGGTCCGCTTGAGGAGCAGTCCTCTGCTTCCTGCTTCCTAAGTTCTTAATAAGTGAATCTCCTTTTGCGCTTACTAGCTGAAAACTTTGAACAGCTCTGTTGACTTCAGACTAAGTCCTGAGCCACACTGTTTACCCTTTTGCCATATGCAGTGCTGGACATGTCACACAGATGGAATCTTATGGTATTTGAATTTTTGACATGTTCCGTTCATTTCTTCTGTGGACAAATAATAGTTGGTGCATACAAACACTTGTTTATCCCATCACCTGAGTGTACAGCTGAGCTCTTCCCTTATTGACCAGTGTGAGTAATGCTGCTGTGTACATGGAAGTGTTTGTGCAGGGTTCCTCCCTCTGTGTGTGCCTGTGTGTGTGTGTTCTGTCCGTCTGTATAAGTGTCTGTGCATCTATGTGTGTGTCTGTGTGTCTCTGTGTGCATCTGTGTGTCTGTGCGTGTCTGCATCTGTGCGTATGCTCTGTGTGTCTGGTCTGTGTGTCTGTGCACGTCTGTGTGTGTCTGTGTGTTTGTATGTCTGTGTGTCTGTGTGTGGAAATAGAGTTTTCAGGTTGTCTGGTAACTGTGTAACCACTAAGGAAGCACCACACTAGTTCTCACAGTGATTGCACCACTTCTGTGTCCCCACCAGCACAGCAGGAAGAAGGGTCCAGTTTCTGTATAGAATTTGAAGTCAGACTGCGGTCACTCTGAAAGTGAAGTCATGGGAAGTTTGATTGACATTTCCTGAGTGATTAGTGATGCTGGCCATCCTTTTGTTTGGTGTTGATAGTCTGTGTATCTTTGGGAAAATGTGTTCACATCATTTTTCCATGTTTCATCACACTTACAACAATTATTGAATAGTAGTTCTTAATATAATATGTAGTAGTAGTTCTTTATTTACTGGTATTCTTTGTATAATAGTAGTTCTTATTCAGGGTGTGATAGCTCACCAGCACATGATTTGGAGACACTGTTTCCTAATGTGTGAGATGCCCATGCACTGTCAAGATTGTGTCTTTCAAAGCACAAAATCTTTTGAAGTATAATTTTTTTGGTTGTTTCTTCTCCTTGGTTGTTTTTGTTTTTGATATCATATTGAAGACTCCATTGCCAAATCTAATGAATGTTCATAGTTGTTTTGTTTTTTGAGTTTTAGAGATGATAGTTCTTGGTTCCTTTTTTGGTTTTTGGTTTTTTGGGGTGTTTTGAGACAGGGTTTCTGTGTGTAGCTGTGACTGTCCTGGAGCTCACTCTGTAGACCAGGCTGGCTTCGAACTCACAGAGACCCACCTTCCTCTGCCCCTGACTGCTGGATAAAAGGTGTGCGCCACCGCTGGCCAGCGCTTGGTTCCTCTTTAACTGTGGTATGAAGGAGCAATGCACACAGCATCATTTACTGAAGTTTCTTTTCGCTACTTAATCATCTTGTCTTAAAAGTGTTCTAAGTGTTTAGCGACATCGGGGACTCTGTGAGTCTTCGTATCAGCTTATCAGCTCTGCAGGGAAGCTATGGTGTTCTGACAGAACTGAGGGGACGCTGTGTCAGCTTGGGGATAGTGACATATAATGGTGGGTCGTCAGGCCCATTTTCCGTTTATTTAGATTTTTGCTAATTTGTTTTCTCAGTATTTGTGATTTTTTTTAAAGAGTGTAAGTTTAGCATTAGTTAAATGTATTCCTGTTAAATTTTCTTGATATCACTATAAATGAAGTCTCCCTCATCATTCCAAGTGTATAGCATTACATTGGCTTTTGTGTATTAACCTTATATTGTAGAATGTTGCTGAGTTTTTCCTTTGTGTGGTTTTCTTAATGGTTACTTAAGATTTCTACATCTACTGGGCTGAAGAGATATCTCAGCAATTAAGAGCACTGACTGGCAGAGGATCCTGGTTCAAGTCTCAGCACCCACATGGTAGCTTAAACCTGTCTGTAACACCATTCCCAGGGATCCAGTGACCTCTCCTGGCTTCCGTGGGCACTTGTACACATGTGGCACATGGATATGAGTAGGCAGAACACTTACTCATAAAAATAAAAAAATCGAAGAATTAAATAAACCAAAAATACACACTGGAAAAAGACTGCATCTTTAACAAATGGTGCTGCTCAAGGTGGATGTAAAAGAATGAAAATAGATCCCAACTCATCATGCTATACAAAATTCAACTCCAAATGGATCAAGACCCTCAACACAAAACCTGATATACTGACTCTGCTAGAAGAGAAAGTAGGGAATATCTTTAACTCATCAGAGCAGGAAAGGACTTTCTGCACAGAAGACAGACAGCACAGGCACTAAGACCAGTAAGTGGAGCCTTCAGGCTGGAGAGATGACTACCCTTGCAGAGGACTGGGCACCTACGCTTGGCACCCATGTGTTAGCTCACAACTACTTATAATTCTAGTTCCAGGGGATCTGGCGCCCTCCCTTGGACCTCATAGCAGCAGCTGTCTTAGGAAGTGGAAGTTTCTTTCTTTGGAAACTAAGGTGTGTCATGTGACTATGTGTTTTGTTTTGGTTCCAAATGTGGGACGTGGAAACAGCCCCCAAGGAAAACAGCTCCAGGAGAGGCGGCATGATGTTGGTCAGCCATGCAAGTGGCATGCTTGCATGGCATGGTGTTGTGAGCTGCAAAACATCTTTGTTTGGACTCTGACACGTAGAAGCCCACAGACAGTGAGACAACACTTGCTGCATCTCTACGCTTTTGCGTCGTACGGTTCATACCATGCGCTGGTCTTCTCAGAAAGAAACGCTTCACAGAAGTTCTCAGGCTGCTTGGTGGATCTGTGCCATTTGGGCAGAGTTTAGCCTCGTCTACTGAGTCCTTCCGCTGCTGCTGAAGGCTGTTGCTGCTACTGCTTTGCTGTTTGACTAGGCTCCTGTTATCCTGATGACTGAGTTTTGTAATCCCCAAAGACCCATTGACCCTTATCAGCAGGAAGTAGATAAAAGAGGTCTGCAGTCTCTCTACTAATCTACCTAAGGGGGAGGGAGGGTTGGAAGGGAGGTAAAGGCATTTAAGAACCTTAAATAAAGTAGGTATTTAAAAAATCTAAGCCTACAGTCTTGCAGATGGTATACAAACATATATGCAGTCAAAACACAAAATAAATGGGACCTCTTGAAACTAAAAACCTGTGGGGCAAAGGACAGCATCGTTTGGACAATGAAGTAACTACTCATCCACTAGATGTTAGTATCTAGAATATATAAGGGACTAAAAACATTGAACGTCAAGAAGACAGCTCAGTTAAAAAGTGGGGTACAGAAATAAGCCGTTTTCAAGGATAAAGCACAAATGGCTGAGCTCGCTCTTAAATATTCAGCATCCTTAGCTGTCAAGGAAACTAAAACCACCCTGAGATTTCATCTTATCTTAGAATGGCCATGATCAATTAAGCAAATGGTAGAGAGCATGCCGATGGCGATGCAGGGAAAGGGAGACCCCTGTTTGTTGCTGGTGGGAGTGGAAACCTGCACAGCTACTATGGAAAACAGTGTAGAGGTTCCTCTGGAAGCTGTGAACTGATCCACTTCAAGGTCCACCTGCACCAGTCCTGGGCATACACCAAGACTCTGCTCTCCTGCAGAGACACTTGCTCGTCCATGTTCACTGCTGCTCTATTCATAACAGCCAGAAGCTGGAAACAGACCAGATGGCCATCGAGTGATGAGGGGGTAATCAAAGTGTGGTGCATTTACACAGTGGAATAGTGTAATGAAATTTACAGGTAAAAGGATAGAGCTATAAACAGCAAAAACATGCTGAGTAAGGTAACCCAGATCCCAGAAGACAAACATCACATGTTCCAAGGAAGCGGAGACGGACAAAGTAAAGCTGTGGAGACAGCTAGAACAGGAGTGAGTAGGGAAGGAGATGGGAGAGAGAATACTGAAGGCCGTTTGGAGAAAAGCTGCTTCCGAATATGGGAACCTGCTACTGCAGAAGCTTCCTAAATATGTACGACAGGAATTTAAATGGAGTCACTGAGTAAGAGGGACGACAGTGCCCCAACTAGACACCGTGTGCCGCTAGGTAAGAGCGTTGGTACCAGGAATGGGTACGTGCCTGGGCTCACAGGCTCACATCTTGTTGAGTCATTATCCAATGGGTCCCATCAATCCAGCAAACATCACAAGCTACTGCCCAGGCTGTCGTCACTCTGCACATCTTCACCGTAAGGTCCTGTCTCTGAAGAAGCTGCACTGCTACTAATTAGCATTCATTGTTTGGGAAGAAGCTTTGCATACTTCAAGAGGAAGGCAACCCAGCTACAAACCCGCAACCTGCTTGCAAGGCATTCTGATTCAGTAGTGCACAAATGTTATGGGAGCCGTCAGCCACTTTAAACGCTGATTCAAGGCCTTCTTCATGAGATGGAACACATCCCTAAAACTGATCAAGTAGCCAAGAGCCTGAGGGTACTTAGGTCACAGCCTGGGGAAAACTTACTTGTCTGCTGAAGAAACACAGCAGTGCGATGACTCCTGAGGACACACTGCTGTACTCACGGGCCAGCGCCTTGTCAGCCTCGTCAGAGAAGCTTCTTGCAGCAGAGAGGCACCAACACGGAGGCCCATGAGTGGACATTGTACAGAGTGAGAGCACACAGTCCTGGATGGGAGGCGTTGTCAGCCTCCTCCCCTTCAGCCTTGGAGTTGTAGTCAGAAGAGGTGGAAAGATTGTCTGAGCCACAGGTGGTGGATGACTCCAAGGAGGCAGCAGCGTCCAGACGTAACAGGGCTGATGCACAAACTCAAAGACACTGACCTGCACAAGGCCCAAGGTAGATGGGGTCCCAGCACCGAGAGGAGTGGACAGGAGGCCCTTTCTCGCCAGGGAGCTGTTTGCCGTAAGGGAAAGCCGGTGTGCTGTAAGGGGCGTCGCTGGGTGGAGCAGCTGCACTCGGGGCAGTCCCTGCCCTGGGGTAACCGGCCACCACACAGCTAACTCTACGTCTTTTGCTGTGTGTCCTCTTTTTATTTCATTTTGCTTTGTTGCTGCAATTTTTGTCTCGTTAGTCTTTTGCTGGTTCTGACTTTCGTTTTTGCGGTTTTGTTTTCTTTTGAAAAAGACAACATAAAGTTGGGGAAATGGTGAAATTCTTGGAGGAGTCAGAGGAGAGGAAAACATGATCAAAATATACGCTGCGAAAAATAATAAAATAATTCTATATTATAGCATTATATGTACCATAGTACTATACATCAGTTATAGTATCCTGAATGAAAATAAGTCAGTTTTGCTTTTCTTTTTCCACCCTGGAGAATTCCTGTTTGTTTGGTGTTTTATTGGGACGGGGGCACAGATTATCTAGTTCTCACTGTTTAAATATTACTTTAGCTCTAGAATCCTGGATCACGTTGAGGAAGCTCCCAACTGTTCTCTCTTTTCTTTCTCATTTTAATCATAAAAGGATTTTTGTCAGACATTTTATTGCATTTGTTAGAATGAACATGAACTTTTAAAAACAATTTTGCATAGTTTGTTATATAAATACTTGGTACAAGTCAAAAGATTTTTGCATACGTGTGGTAAAATCCTCCTAGTCGGGGTACGTAATTCTCTCCGTAGGTGACTGGGATTGTGTCTACTGTGCCTTCTCTCTCCTGCTTTCCCCCGTTCCTCTGCCAGCCTCTTGTGTTTATATGCTTTTGCCTCCGGAGAATCCGGCACCGGGAGCGTGTGCCGCTACACGCTGCATAGTTTGCTAATGTGGAGGCTTCTTCTCATCTGTGTTCATGTGCTAGTCTCTGCTTTTCTTGTACATTCTTTTGTTGATGATTTTGGCCTCCTAAAGTGAATTGGGAAGTATTCACGGCAGTTTTATTTTTGAACACATCTTTGAAAAGCTGGCACTTATAAAAACAGCACGGGGCGTGGTTATAGTACCACACGCCTGTAATCCCAGCACTGGGAAGCAGCCAGATGGATCTCTCCTCAATATTACGCCAGCCCAGTCTACATGGTGAGCTCCAGGACAGCAGGGCTGTGTCATGAGACCTTGTCTCAAAAGCGAACAACAAAAAAATGATGTGTATTTGGGGAAGGGATTCCACGAGTAAAACTATTTGGCCATAGGCGTTATGTAGTTCTAATTCTTTTATGTAGGCGTTATGTAGGACTAATTCTTTTGTTACAGATTTATTTTGAATGACCGGTTGTATTTGTTTGTTTGCTTTGTCAGTTTTCAAATTTTCTATTTAAGACCTTGTCTGCCTAAGTGGTTGATGACAGATTTATTCCTACTGTTCCCTAAGAGCCTTTTTATTCTCATGAGACTGGTAGTGATTTTCCTTTGAGAGGGAGTTTATTGAGTCTTTATCTTGGTTAGGTTAGCTGATGCATTATCACTTGTGGACTTCGGGAGCGCACGCTTGACATTCTCTGATCTCAGCGTGCACTCTAGCTTTCTACCTCCATCTTTCCACAGACTCACCGACCTCAGCGTAAGCTTCAGCCTTATCTCCAGTGACACCGTCCTTCCCCAGGCACCTTTACAACAGTTGCTTCCTTTTTAAAACCAGCCCTTCACCTAAACTTGAGCTCCTTTGCGGATTGTCAGTCTCTTTGACGAGGAGCTCATTCGGGGTAGATTTTGGAATTGGGGCTCTTGGTAGAAAGTGGGGCAGGAATGAATGCTTGGAAGCAGAGAAGGCAACAGTCTCACATTCTTAACCCTGCGTCTTCCAGCTGGGCCGCTCTAGTCTGTGAACTGTGCGTGAAGGTCAGAACCGCCTGGACCGTATCGTTTTCATCATGTCACAGTTCCTGCAGGGCCCCAGTGAACTGGCCACTGGGCACTTGTCAGCCTCTGGAGCTCGGCCGCAGCAGCAGGCCGTAGAGTGAGGAACACTGTGCCCTGCCCTCTCGGGATGAGGCTGTTCGGCTGAAGCAGGACTAGGAGGAGCCCTGTTCATGACTGAACTGTTCTGTAACTCCCCTTTGTCATGGAGGGGGAAGGGATGAAAAGGAGTGAGTCTTAGATATGTAGCTCACTGTTCTTACCCGCTTCTTTTAGACTTCAGAGTGAATGTTAATATTTTCTGTTGTTTGTTTTCAGTACTGTGGCCAGAAACTCTTGAATAGTGGGCTGGGAGATAAATTTATAATGTAGAAGTTTTTGCTTAGCGTGGCTTTATGGAACTCCTTGTCAAACTGACCTGCTGGAAGTGAATCTTGGTACCCTACATTAGAAATTGAGATTAGCCATCCCTTCGATATTTAGAGGAGAATTTTCCAGAGTTTTGTTTTCCTTTCTCAGATGTGGGTTTCACGCCTACAATTGCAACCATAGGGAGGCTGAGGCAGGAGATTGTGAATTTAGGGTAGCCTCTACTCCATAGCGAGGTCAGGCGATCGGAGCTATGCAGTAGATATAAATTCTGAAGCCTACCGCATTTTGCATGGACGTTTTTGTGTAGTACCCTAATGAAGATTTTTCTCACATTTCTTTGAATTCTGCGTGCTGAGCACGGACAACGGCTAGCCCGGGTGTGATGGTGTCGGTTCTGTTCTGTTAGGGGCAGCAGTGAGCCAGGAAAGAAGAAGCAGCACGTGTGCCACATCGAAGGCTGTGGGAAAGTGTACGGCAAGACCTCCCACCTCCGAGCGCATCTTCGCTGGCACACCGGAGAACGGCCTTTCATATGCAACTGGATGTTCTGCGGCAAGAGATTCACCCGGAGCGATGAGCTTCAGAGACACAGAAGGACCCACACTGGTGAGCTGCTCTGTCGTGGGCTATGGCCGCTCTTTCCGCTTAGGGCCCTGTGCTTAGCGGCCACCACACTGCTGGAGGGCAGAGTGTCCTGCCTTCCTCTTGACATACATTCATGTTACTTCCTAAATTGTATTAGCATATTTATATGACCTGGAATTTGTTCCTTTTGCTTTTTAGATGTTAAATTCATACAGGTGTTTTTCTAAAGTGTGTGTACATATGTATGTATACATACACATACATAAACATGCGTGTGTATATATATTATACACACACACTTTAGAAAAACACTATGAATTTAACTGTAGTAGTGTATTAATTTTGTTTAACAATATTATACATATAACAAAAATAATATAAAAGAAGAGGATTAAATTATGATGGTAAGGGTTTTGCTAGTGCAAGGGCATCTTGGCAGTTGGGAGCCAAGGTATACCAGCGTCACTCCACGCAACCAACGTCACACAAGAGGTTTATTGGAAAGAAGAGATTGGCAGCTGCCACCAAAGGGGAAGAGAGCCAGCAGAAGGCTGGGCAAAAGCGAGGAGGGTTTTGGAGCCTCTGCAGTGGGCTGGTAGAAAAGTACCACATGGCTGTTATTTTTTGGTCAGTGTCTCCAGGTCACAGGGACGTGGTTCTCCAGGCCTCAGGAGCTCTAGGGCAGGGCAGGGGCAGGAGGCTTTTCCCTGGCCCTGGTCCCTAAAGTGATGTTGGTGACGTTGAGTAGTCCTCTGTTTGTTCTACAGACCCGGGGAGTGTCAAGCATAGTAAGCAAATACCCACTCACAGTCTTACGGTTCTGTTGTTTGTTATTTTAGTAAATATACTAAAAGAACTCACTAAGGACATCTGTCAGAGTGAACAGCCACCATCAGTCTGTGATTGGTGTCGTATTGCTAGTATATTTTAAAACTCATCTATGTTATTTGTGGGTTTACATGGAAAGTTATGTTGTGTACGTGTCATAAAATGTTACATACTTTTGTTTTTGTTTTTATTTTTACCGACATCCACATATGCATGTTTATATTTAAGAGATGGAGCGGTCTGTCACATGATCAGCACTCTGCGCTTAATCATTTCCTGCCCTGCTGGTTATTGTTCGGTTATTTGCTGTCACCAGCTTCGCTGCCATGACGGTACTGGACATGAAGGAGGGGCAAGAGTATTCGGTCAGAGAGAATGTGTTTGGTAGCAGAGTCTCCACAGCGGCTGCTTACCATTTCTGCTTGACCAGTGTGATAGAAGTTCCTCTTCATGTGTTCCCAGTGCCGTATAAGTTCATATTGCTCTAACGTGGTTTCTCTTGTAAAGTTCGTGTTTGTGACTGTCCTGAGATCAGGCGTCTTCTCACACGTCTGTTGTCCTCCTTGTATGTCTCTTCTCTCTTCTTGTTGCTTCTCAGTCATGTTAATTACATGTTGTAGTTTTCCCACATATTTTTGTGTTACCTTTTGTCATACAGAAGTTTTACACATTTAGCTACAGAACTTGTTTTTAGTAAACACACACACACACACAAAGCCTAACATATTTTGAAGTTATTTGAAAGTTTTTTTCTTACAACTTTGGAGTTTTTTCTTTCTTCCTCCCATTTGGTCCTTTAGATTGCCCAGACTAGTGATTTTATTTCTTTCTTTCCTCCCTCCCTCTCTTCCTCCCTCCCTCTCTTCCTCCCTCCCTCACTTCTTCCCTCCCTCTCTTCCTCCGTTCTTTCCTTCCTCCCTTCCTCCTTCCTTCCTTCCTTCGCTCCTCCCTCCCTCCCTCTTTTCTTTTACTTCTTGTCTTTCTTTTTTTCTTTTTTCTTGCTGTGTGTATGTGCGTGTGTGTATGAGAGAGAGAATAATGAATTGAGGCTATAATTTTTTTCATATGAAAATTCATTTTTGACTAGTTTGTCCTTCTGCACTAATTGACAGTAACATTTCTCTCAGACTGCTCCTGTAGTTGTGCCCTACTTTCTCTGTCCACTGTCAGGAAGCTTTTTTCCATTTGTCAGTTCATATATCAGTGCCATCCAGTTTTACATACTGTGAGCTGTATTAAATCTCCACATCCAGTGAGAGCACATGTAGGCCCTTACCTCCTGCTTAGAACATGCCTCGTTCTTGCTGAGTGAATTTCGAGTCACTAGTTAACTTACACAAGTTGAAGATGCAGGAATTCTAGAATTGGCCTTTCTTGTAAGCTGCTGTGTACTGGGTATTTGATGTCTTCCTTCATGTGGTGCTAAAGCACACCGCGAGGTAGGAACAAGCTCAGCCTGCAGATCAGAAGGCAGGTCCTGTGCCCCTCCCCCACAGCACAGCTTGTTGGCTGAGTCACAAGTCACCATCACCGTGCCCCGCACTGGCATGTGTGTGGAGCAGAACACGTGGGCACCAGCATGTTGCTCTGTCAGGGAGTTCTCTGCGCACTCCGACTTTTACGTTGTAACCAGTTAGTGTTGCACAGGCCCATCAGCAAAGATTCAGGGTCTCCTCCCTGGACTTGCAGGGGAACGGCTGAAGAAGCCAGGAACTGCCATGGAGTTGATTTGAAGCTTTGCATCGTGATTGCACTGTTTTTGATAAATGATAGGTTTTAAAGTCCCTGTGTCACTCGCCCATGCTTACAAAACATACTTATTCAAAGATACCTATTGCAGAATCAAATTTAGTAATTTATGGTATGTATTCTCCTCTTGCCCCCCCCCCCCCCCGCCCTTGAGATAGGGTCTCATATAGCACAGGCTGGCATCAGACTTCTGTGTTTCTGAGGAAGAATTGAACTTCTGGTCTTCCTAATCCCTCTGCCCCCATCTCTGAGGGTTTGGATTACAGCTGTGCACCATCAAGCCCTGGTTATGCCATGCTTGGTGCTACACCCGGGGCTTGTGCTCACTCAACTGTCCGAGCCACCGCCCTGGTCTCCTCCTGCCCCGCCTCCTCGTCCTCCCTCCTGACCTCCCTCCTGCTCATTTTGATAGGACCTAAGTTTAATCATCTGCTCTTACTAATTCAGACTCATGTTTGCTTCATGCTTATTGATACAAAGGTTTTAAACATATATTGTCCCCTCATAAAATTACTCAGTGAAAGCATAGTAAGGGGTGGAGAGGTGGCTCCCTGAAGCTTGTGCTGCTGTGCAGAGCCCCTGCTTCAGTTCCCAGCGTCAGTGTGGGGTCGCGCACAGCCGTCTCTAACTCCAGTTCCAGGGATCCACCTGCGATACCTGCTCCCGCAGCTTCCGATGCCCCTGAGCTTGCACTCTACAGATACACTTTCATTCACATACATTTTGAAAAATCTTTTTTTTAATGATGGGAAATGTGTTTAAAAGAAAGAAAACATCTTAGCGGCTGTGGCATGGAGGTGGATGCTCGCCTGGCATGCAGGAGGCCTGGCCCCAACTTTCGGACACAGGCAAACCTTTGGCACTGACACTCCTGTACCCCGTGTTGCTGTGCTTACACATAAGACTTTTAAAAGTTGGAAACATCATGTCAAGTGCTGCTTAAATTTGTTGAAAAGTATCAAACAAAAATACCGTTTGAAATAGGTATTGATAAAAAGTTGAGTATGTTTCCGTTGAAAGCCTTGATCATTCATGGCAAGAATCATTTTGTTCAGTATTTAGCCACCACTCTCAATAGAAACGCATTGATTGTGAGTAGGTAAATGAGTTATTTTAATCCCTTTTGAAAGTAGTAAGGATCCATTTGCTTTGCTAAAAAAAGAATATAAGTGTGTAATGGTTTATGGAAAGAGTTTTTAAAACTCCGATAGCACGCAAGATTAGTGAAGGAGGCTCTCCCCTACTTTCTGTTCTGGTCTCAGGAGAAAGTCACTGTGCTGTTTTTCTTTTTTCTTTTTTTCCTGTGAAGACTACCACAGATGCTGTGGGCAACGTGTCTTTAGATATACATCTTAAAATATTTTCCCTGAGTTTATGACAGTCCAGTTAATTTCATGAATAATGCCTGGCCTGGAGGCTCATTTCTTTAGTATCAATGCTCAGGAGGCAGGGGAAGGTGGATTTCTGTGAATTAAGCCAGCCTGATTTGCAGAGCAATTTCAGACCAACCAGGCATACAAAGTGAGACCTACCTCATAAGACAGACAGAAACCTTCTGAATAGACCTTAATGTTACCATTACTTCTAGACCTCACAGGTTTCTTCACAAATTGACTTGATGTTGATTATCAACATCTTCTTGTTGATAATCTTTATTCTAGTTTTCAGATGAAACAATCATCATGTTGTTAATGATTCTCTCCTCTGTTCTTTTGGATGCTGTAGATTTAAGCCCCTTCCCCATGTTTCCTTCACTATAGTCTAAGGAATGTCTCATTAGAAGTCAGTCACATATGGTCATGCTGCCATCTTAAATAATAGGGAATTACATTTACCTTCCTGCTGATGGGAAAATATTACAGGAATAGAGTATACAGGGATAGAACTAAGTGTCTGTTGCTCATAATAAGGATATAGATGTACATACACATTCATGGAATAGTATCGCTCACCTCTGTATATATTTTACTGTGGACATGTTGCTCGTTTATTAGACTATTTCACTGACCAGCATCATTGTACTAAAGAATAGTTAATCAAGAGATGGCTTCTGACAAGTAATGTCACAGGGAGGTTCCATCTTCAGCCGCATCTGTTATTTGTTGCTGGTTAAGAAAAACCCAGAGGCGCTCCTAAAGTGCTCCTTACAGTGGACTTGAGAGTTTCTCAATGTATGGGACTTAGTCTTTTATCCCAGATACAGTTTCTTATAAAGCTGTATAGAATAAGTTTAAGTGGAAATGAAATTTGGTAATGAAATGCCAGTGGTTTTCATGAACAAAAGAAAAAATATTGATGAAATAGGTAAGATGAGAAACTATAGATTCATTAAACATTTCCCCTAGAATTATTATGCAGCTGCTTTAGTTTGTAAAGTGACCAGACCTGCTCCCTCTGAGTTGACCGACAGCCAGAATGAATCAGAGTATCTTCAGCCTCACAGA